ATGAAACTTTGAAATTCATTACGATTAGCCGAATGTAAATAATAATTAAACCTTCAGCAATCAGACGTGTACAAACACTTTTCACTAAATTCAGGTGTGATAGAAATTAAAAGTTAAAAGTCATTAAAAAGCCATTCACTTCCTATCTGTCGCACAAGTGACGACTCTTGTGGCCCACTAACCAACTGATTATGATTTGGCAATTGAAACCATGGGTGTTGGATTCAAGTCCCAGAGGAGGAGAGTCACTCACTGAGAGAATTGGCATTTGTAACTGGTGAGTGTCAAATGAGAGGAAACAGGCGTTCATGATTTAAGTGTATTGAGGCTGTTTGAGAGTGTACTCTTCTAATATGCCATACTGTTTGTTTAGTTAATACTGTTTTCTGGTGATGAGTAGTTGACAATGGAGTCTATTCTTCTTTTATAAATTCAAATGTTGATATTAAGCGAATGTTTATAATTTTTTTACCTTTATAAAAACTGGTAGCCAGTTCATATTGACATGTCATACTCAAATACTTAGATTGTTTTTTATATGAAAACTATTCAGTTTTTTTCAGATAACATTGAATGCTTATTTCCAGAAGTATTATTAGTTGTTAATTATGAAACCAAAATAAAGATCAAACACGTTATTTTTTGTTGTTGTTTATTTTGGGAAATAGATTAACTCTAGGATAAATTTCACTGAAAACTGATACCACAGTTGAAACTGAAGACGACTGTATATCAGTTTCTACTTTTATCAACTACCTAAGACGAAGTGCCTTATGAATAGGTCTGATAGTAAGTATGTCATCATTTATCCACTTCATTAAATTTCACTGACATACAATTTCTAGTTACTCTTGCTTTGAGCAAGAGTATAACCAACGTCTAATGTCTTTTAAGTAATGGTTTTGTAGGGATTTTGTTTGGTTGGTTGGAAGATTTCATCATGAGTTGACATCATGGTTCTCTAACTATGCTATTCAGGCAGTTACCTAGGGTTCTAGTGGGAAGCCGTGACCAGTAGGGCACAGCAGGTTGAAGGTGAGGCAGTATTTCATTGAAGAAGACATTGCGAAGCGGTTGCGCTGTGCCATAAATTGGAAGAAGTTGGAATTCATAGGCCGTTGGACTGGTTCCTAGTGGCAGAGTTATCTACGAGCGCAGTGGCCTTGTAACCAAAAGGTCCTAGGTTTGAACTCGGACGGTAACTTAATTTAATTTTTAATTACAGCTTGATGCCACACCGTATTTTCAGTACAAGTATGGAATTTTCAGCATGGATATCGGTAGCCCAAATTTTGCTGGCCGACCATAGATATCAGGTGTGAGTCGGCAGGGGATCGAACCCCGGACCATGTGCATGGTCGGCGAGAGTCCTAACCACCGACGCACTGATGAAGAGTCCCAAACTAGGAAGAAACAGCTATCCAGTACTCGCAGGTTTTCCAATGGTGCTCTAGCCGATGTCAGTTCATGATGAAATCCTTCAACTAGTGTCTTTTATAGTATTCTTTATACATGTCTAGAATTCCTCAATATGATCGAAAGAATCTGAATTCAGTGTCCTGCAAGGTGATAGGTGTATGGTGCTAAAGAGCCTCGAGGTGAAGAAGCAAAACAGACATCTAATTCTTACTTGTTTTTGTTTTCTATTACACTCTATCTGATTTCAATTTATGATGACATCAACTTTGAAGGGTTAAATGATTATCTTGATGAAATCTGCTGTTAACAATTTATCAAAGTATCAACAAATGAACAAAATTATCTTCATCATTCCTTCCATCCTTCAAAAAAAGAAGGTTATTAGTGGCATTAAACGATACTTGACATATCACTGTGTACTTATAAATAGCCTTTCAGAGTTGATTGGTATGAAATGCTTATGCTATACATTTTAGGAGACTACTACAAGCTATTCGTTCACTTAAACAATTACTAGAAGCATAAAATCTCCTGAATCTTTATTTTTTAAGTCATATATTTTCAACTAAACTATTGAGTTTACTTGAGAAGTATTTAAGGCTACTCTGGAATTGTTGATTAGAATTTGACTAATATATAATTTCCTCCATTTAGGCTCGTTTTAATCTTTGTTGCACGTAAGGTATTCAGATGTGTAAACCATATATCCTGTAATCACAAACATAATACTTTTCTTTTTACGAGTTTGACCACGGATTGATATCAGTTAGAGAACCATTGAAAACCAGGGAGCACTGCCAGACATTTGTTTTATGCCAGTTTGGGAATCATCATCGGTACGCACTCACTGCCAGGGTTCGAACCCAGGACCTTCCGGTTATATGGCCAGCAAGCTCGTATACCATTTAGCCACTGGGACTCGATTCAATGGCCCATGAATTCTAATACTTTTCTGTTTGTACCTAACTGTAGAGAAAGCAAGTAAATGCGATAATACGTATAATAATGAAAGCATAAATTTAAGGTTTGATTACTAGTATAGTAAAATATATCTGCTATAAATTACGTGAATTGTACTCAAAAGAAATCCAGAATATCTTCGTGTGGCTTGCGTTCAATTATTTTAATTGCATACTTAGTACAGTATGAGCAAGTCGGGGTGCATCACACAAACTAGTAATACAACATTACATAGGGAGCAAAGACAAAGAGTGAAAAGGAAGTAACAGAACAATTAAACACTTTACCCTAAAATCACTTTTCTAGAAGTAAACATAACATGGAAATTAGCATTTGACTGAAACTGAGTTTCATTCTCTGGCTTAGAATGTTTCAAATAATCAGGTCACCTGGTCACTTAGAACATTTCCAAAGGGTCTTAATAGCTTCATCGAATTTAAACACATTATTACTACTAATTTTGGATCGGTCGTACATAAAATTGCTGAGATTATGTAAGAAAATGTAAACAGGTTTTATTTTATAATCTTGACACCAAACTTCTGTATGGTTGAGTCAGTGTCTTCAAACTTTCTATGGAATTAACCCAATTTAAGGTAAGAACAGTTTCACACAGTTTCATTACTTCTAAGCTAATAGCCCTAAATGTATGAATATAATGATTAATCTGTCAATTTTGATTGGTTGGAGTTTTGAGGCTTGAGGACAAATAATCGCCAAAGACACTGGCTAGTGGTCGCGCTGTGTCATGAATTTACAGAATTTGGAATTCATGGGCTTGATGATCAACGAGCTCAGTAGCCTTGTAACCATAAGGTCCTGGTTTCGAACCCTGATGGCGGGTGCGTACCGATGAAGAGTCCCAAACTAGGACGAAATGGCTATCCAGTACTCTCATGTTTGCCAATGGTGCTTTAACCGATGTCAGTTCATGATGAAATCCTGTAACCAGTCAGTCAAATCCCTACAAACCAATACTTGAACTAAAATAATGATGGAAGTAGTTTTCGAATCATTAAGTATTCAATGTTTGGTTATTATCATTATTATTTTATAAAATGCTTCCTTAATACAAATTTATAACATTCCTCAAAATCGAATTTTCATGAGAGTCATATCTACTATTTCTGGAAAGCTTCTTATTTATCACCATGAAATTTTCTTGAAACAATTAGTCGGCAAATAATTTAACAACTAAGTATTGTCCTTTATTTAAACAAAGCAAAAACAAATGTTTGTGGAGAATAATATGGGACGATCATTTATTTCGTCATTGGATTCTCTTCATCTGCTTACAACCTAAGAGTTGATGATGTAAATGTACACAGAATTTTGTCATACCTGTAAGGACCAACATTATTTTTGTTAACAGAGACAAATGTTCATAAAACATTGTTCAAAAGTTCCACTTATATAACTTATGAAGGAGGTCAAAATACAAACATACAAAATGAAGACTCGAATACATAGAAAATTGAGTTGTATAGTCAAGACAAAAGGAGAGAAGTTGATGATGTGTAATGCTGTGTAGTGAGTTTAACTCAAGTCATAAAAACAAAATGTATTGTCCAGTGATCAGTGAGAACAGCATGAAACTTTTGAATTCGTTTTAAAGGATTTGTAGCTAGTTCAGTCTACTAAGTTGTATTTCATGATTTTGAGTCTCAAATCTGTAACAGTTGTCATTCGTTAAAATATTTGATCAGTAATGCACTCTACTGTAGGATCTGATATTCTCTGGATTTTATTATTAGCTGAATGCTGAGTATATGGTGTTAAAGAAATCTATAGAAGGATTAAAAGGGTTATTTATTTTTCTCTTAAGATTTGGCGGTGAAGCATGGATAAAGTGATTTTACGTGTAACTTCAAATTCATATAGATTGAATCCTCAAACTCCAATCGGCTAGACAAATAACCTAACTTAAAGCTGTTTACAATTTTTAAAGGGTTACATTAGTATTGACATTGAAACTAGTTCATCTAGTTCATAACATCATTAAGTTCTGTCATCCTCGAAATTTTCCAAGATACCTTTTCTCTAAAAGATAAGTTATAATTTTCAGAAACTATACTTACCTGAAACACAATCTGTACGGCTAACTTTCATTTCGAGGTATATATTAGGTTCACTAAACAGCTTGTAAACTACAGTTCAGTTGGTTGGACGAGCTAATCATGAACTGACATCACTTACAGAACCGCTGGAAAGCCTGAAAGTAATGAATAGCTGTTTCCCCCGTCCTAGTTTGAGACTCTTCACCAGTACGCAACCACCACTATGGCAGCGGAATGGAGTCGCTAGCCTCACGTCCATCTCTCCCTCTTTTCCAGGCTAATAATAATGTCACATACGCTAACAGAATACTCTAAATTTCTTCGACTTGTATTTATGTAACCCTATAAAAAAAATTTCAAATTGTTAAACTAGACAATCAATAAAATACTAAACAACTGTGGAGACAACTGTAAACAACGAAATATTAAAACGAAAGGATAGACTTGTAACGTGAAATTTCACGAGAAATCAACAATAACTGGGACTCCCACTAAACTGCACATTTAAAACGACATTTTCTGCCTATTAAAGTAATATATATATATATATATATATAAACTTACCATGACCTTCAAAATAACGTTTAATCAGATTTGAATTATACCAGTGAATCTGTGATTGTAATATTTGATTTGCATTTGAATTTTTATCGGATGAATTATCACTTTGAGTTTCATTTATAGGATGTTTGGAAATTTTCCCACTTTTATCGCTCTTTTTTGAACTCATACTACTTTTATAACTGTTAGTAGTGCTAATAGTTTCGGGTATATTTGAATTACTACTGTAAGCTGATTTAATGTCACAATTTAAATGTGGATCATTTACAGATAATTTTTTAATTAACGATTGATTCAGATTAGTATTATTTGCAGCGATACTCTGAGAAGTAGTAATACAGTTAGCATTAGAGTTATCACTTTGTTCATGTCTTATTTTATTTACCTGATTAAACCAATGTGTTAATTGATTTTTGCATAAAATATATTCTGGCCTATGAATATTATTAATATCTATGTTAGTAGAATTTTCGTACTGTCCATTTAATGCCCAATTAAATTTTTTCAATGGTGAATAGTTAACAATAGTATGTGAATCTTCTTCATGGCTGTTTTCATTCACTATTTTTTCATCACTGTTATTCACCTGTTGTGCATAAACTGACAAATCATTATAAATATCCTGATATAATTTATGATGAAGAAAAGAAGGACTGATCGATGTTGTCGGTGTTATTAAAGTATTAAGAGTAGAAGTGGTCGTTGTACAAGATGAGCTACTTGTGAATTGATTCTCACTTTGTAAATACATATTTACTACGTCTTGAATATCTGGTGTAGATGTTGAAGTGAATATTGAATTTTTACTTATACAGTGTATATCAGTAAACTTATAAGAATTATTATCATTATAATAAACTTTATTGTCAACATTATCATTATTGTCATTAGCAGTGTTACAATTATTTAAGAATTTTTGATTTTCAACTTCCAGTAATGAAGCTATCGAGAATGCGTGATCCATTACTTCGAATGATAACGATATTATACAGTTATTTATCAAAAATATTTGAAAATACCTATCGTGATATTACTTTAGCATTTGTTTACAGTTAATTTCATCCCCACTTTAAAAAAACAAACAAATACTTGACAAATGATCGGTCGTATTGTGATGATTTAAAGTTTCATTGTCATAATTCAAACTAAGTTGAAATTAATTTTTATTCCTACCTTATCTGCCAATATTATTTTTATAATTCTTCTTCATGCGCACTGTCAACCAATCAAATGTGCGCTGAATTAAATTAAATTCACACTTCATAGTCGCATACACTTACCTTAATTCTGATTGGTGTTATTTAGTATGTTGAATAGTTTGATGAGCGAAATATATAATTGACAATTGAATTCTGTTTTAAGTTAATTGATTCGTTTCATCAATAATTACGAGAAGATATAATTCAGTTATAGGTATTCACACCATAGATGTTACGAAACACCTGAAATACTGTGAGCGCCAAATTTGATTTAATACTGTGAAATATTCCCATATCATGAATTAAAAGTCAGTCTACACGAAGAATATTCTTTTCAATAATTTCTCTTCAGGTTCTTACAAATATATATTATAATATTTGTTGTCATTACAACAATGGCCAGTTATGCGTCGGAGAATAACAGATTAGTTATCGGGTGTCTAAATAAATAGTAGTATTTGTGTGACAAACGTGCTAGGCTGAAATCGATCACAAAATATTGTAAAATGGGAGATAGTGGTGGTGATTAGTCATAATAGATTTGTAGAGTGTGGGGTAGGAAAATTGACAAGTCAGTTCAAGGTTATAGAAGGTGTCAGGTGAGTGGCTAGTGCAAAGTCATATGTATTAGGGAGGAAATAGTAAGACTCCCATGAGATGTTCATGATGAAATAATGAATGTGTGAAATGAAACAGGTGGAGACACATATTGAGAAAGGAGATAATATCACTAATAATAAGTACGGATAGTATAAATGGAATTCGACAGAATTGAGAGAATGTTTGCATGAAGGTTATAAATTATGACGAATAATAATAATTATTATAATAATAGGCAAAGAAAGAAAAATATTACCAAGAGGGTTAAGGGGAAGAAGCAGTCTTGGTGAGAAGAAGAATCATCAATCCAAGTTTGGCCACGGTAGGAACAGCGTCTGGATTTGTTCTTTTTGGATACAAAGTTCCTGTTTACTCAATCTTACTGCAACAGCTTCAGCTATATGTAGGAGACGTAAGCGAACTGTATATGATAACGATTTTAGAATTCAGTACATAACCCTGAAGGCTGTGTTGACATCGATGCTAAGTCCAGTATCGACCAAGTGTGACAGGATCGAGCTTTTTATGCACTTAATTTTCCCCCTGCTGAACTAAGCTGGTAAATATTTTTGAACCCGTAGACAAAATTTTTGAAAAGGATATTCTTCGTTCAGATTGACTTTTGAATTTGATTTGATTTTAAAATAATCCCAAGATGGCGAGAAAATCAAAACAAGATTTCTCTGTGTCAGACACAGCTTATTCAACAGAATTCTGAGCACACACTGGGATTATATTCAATGATTTTTTAAAAATCTAATCAGTTGGATATTTATCATCTACAACTGAGTGGCTCATAGGATGAACGTCACTGAACTTAACTGTTCCATGAACATCAGCGATGAGTTCATTTTCAAGTGAGTACAATGACACTCTATAGTTAAGTGATGTGTAACTGTGAAACACACAAGTGTATGACTCACAGTATATTTTCCTTTCATTGTGTTTATGCGAATTTCTCAACTTTAATTCATTTCCTTAATGTCATTTGTGATTATAGAGGTAAATAGCAATCAGAAAGTCAATAAATATCCCTATTCTTCTAAAAACTTGGCGAAGTCATACTAAAGTGATGTAAACGATTGAGAGCACAAATGTCTATGAGCCAACCAATCACATTACATAGACAAATACAAGTGTTTGACAGGATATCAACTTTTAAAAGATGTGATTCACTGTTTTTCATATGAGCGCAATTTATTACTGCTCATAATCACATCAAGGCAAGAAGAAAGAAAGTTATGTGAGCACAGTGCGTCTTGATTTACCCTGTTTAATGAGTTTACTAATATAGATAACCTTTCATTGGTTGTATCAATGGTCACTTTTGAGCTTCTTCGCTTGAAGCACTGTGATTTAACTTAACCTAAAAATGAATTAATTTAAATAGAAAAATCTATAAGCTGATAGAAATCTTAAGTATTTCATACTTTCCATTTCTATAACGAGAATAGTCAGGCATGTAGATTCGAGTTTATGCTACTAGTCATTATTCTTTCTTTTACCTAAAGCAAGTGAGAAACATTTTGATGAGTATCCTTATACAAATACTAAATAGTCGACTAGTTGATAAGGGTTAGATTTAAACAGGAAATTAAATCAGAGGGCATTGCATCGAATAAAAGCTCCTTAAGAATGCTTACTTTCATTTCGGCACATAAATGAACTGATATCAGTTAGAGAACCATTGAAAACCAGGGAGTACTGCCAGACAGCTGTTTCATCCTAGTTTGGGAATCATCGGCAGTACGCACCCATTGCTAGGGTTCGAACCCAGCACCTTCCGGTTATAAGGCAAGCTCGTATACCATTCAGTGGCCCATGAATTCTAACTTCTACCAATTTGTGATTTAGCGCGACCCCAACCAATGTCGTCGGTGGGACATCTATCCTCACACTTGACTGTTAGGACCTCAGTGGTCACGACTTCTCACTAGAACTCCAGGAAACTCCGTTCTGTAGCAAGTCACTAGCGAGCACCAGATTAATTTTCTATAGTTGGTTTTTATAAGGGTTAGTTTTGTTTTTATGAGTTGATCACAGATTGATATCAGTTAGAGAACCATTAGAAACCTGATATCAATCCGTGATCAACTCGTAAAAACAAAACTAATCCTTACAAACCAACTATAGAAAACATAAATGAACACAAAATATAGGGTATGTTGGCGATCGCGTCAACGGTTAGCCATTAAAGTGAAAGGAAACATTACTTATCACTGTACAACATTATTTGTAGGTATTGATTCACATTCTACTAATAGCATCTATGTTCAACGCTATTTGGGTTTCGAAATGCACAGTATTAAATAGTTTAAAAATTCATAGGTTGGATAGAACTTGAAGAGGGTGTGCAGTTATAGGATTGGTAGACAAATCGAATAAAATAAAAACTTTACGTAATACTGTATGGAATTTGATAGCATAGAATTTAATGTTGTAAAAAAGAATTGATTTAGAATGACAAGTGGAACAAGTGAAATAATACCGGGGACAGTTCAAAGTGAGAATAGTAATAGTAAAAATTGACATAATAAACGATATCACAGTCCCTGAAAAGAACATTCCCTACAGCATCTCCGAGAATAGCCTTTACTAGTCGACCATTACTGTTCAATAACCTGAAGGATAACATCCCACTGTTAACCGACTCTGTGTGTGTTTATCAATTCACCTGCTCGTGTGGAGGTAGGTATATCGGTCGTTTGACTCGAGTTTTGTCCAAGAGGGTGCAGGAACACTATCCTGCATGGTTACGAAGAGGTAGAAGTGGAGCAATAAGAAGCGCCATCATTGATCATCTGGTCGATAATGATCACTTTATCTCTATAGCCTCCGCCTTTAAAGTCATCTACAAGGCAAAAAGTAATTTACCCAAATCACTACTTACCCGACTCATCTATTTTGCTGAAGCTTTGGCTATCGAAACAGAAAAGCCAGATCTCCAACTTTTATGGTCTTAATCCCTCTATGTTAAAGCATGGTAATCCCCAATCATATTTTGGCTCTACCAACTTTCCATTTTTCATTTTATCTATTCAATTTGTCTCCTCTTCCTTTATTAAGTCAAGTTTAAAAATTTTACGAAATATCTATACAATGATCACAATAATTATGTCATGAGTTATATAATGATAATTTTTGAGGTCACAGAAAAGAAGCTTATTTCAAACCATTGAGAACCACATCGAAGTTTAGTTGTTGTTAATCTGTACCAGTTTACACTAAATCCTACCTGTTTGTGAAATTAAATTATTATTGACTGTATGGATAAATCTGTCCAGTTTTGCAAGTACTGCGTGCTTCATTTATATGTATACATATATATATTAAAAGGTTGTTGTTTCACTCTACCACGTGTAGAGTAAAAAATAAAGTAGGAAAATGGATAAACCGGTAAATTAAGAAATAAGTATGGCTCATAGATGGGTAGACTTAGTATGGGTCTTTGATACAGATGATATTGGTATTTTGTGAACTTACACAACGATTACAATGAATTCATTTTTATAGTGTCAGTCTAAAGAAAAACATAGCTGGTATTTTAAATCATTACAGGTGTGAAGATGAAATGGCACCAGTTGGACACCATTAGAAAATCAGGGAGTACTCGACAGTGGTTTCGTCCCAGTTTGTGACTCTTAATCAGTATCCAAACTACACCCTGCCAGGGGTAAAATGCAGGATCTTCCAGTCACAACGATAGCTAGTTGATCATTCAGGCACTGGGATCCCATCCAATGGCCAACGAGTTCTAACTTTTGCCAATTCACGATATATAGCGCAACTTCCAACCATTATTATCAGGGAGTAACTGTCCTCTTACCTGACATGGTGGACCTTACCAGCCTCGACTTCTCACTAGAATTCCAGATAATTTCCTGTATAGATACAACCGCTAGTGAGCACCTGATTAATTTTTCAAGTGTTGGTTTTGCAGGGATTTTACTAGTCACAGGTTTTACGACGAGCTGAGATCACTCTGATTTTTAAAAATATGTATCTAAATTTCACCTCCTTATCAAGTTAGTAACGGGTAGCTTGTTAGTTCTATTTGTGCTTCAGTTTTGTTTACTTGAAAATTCTTGTACTTAATTCACTGCTTCATTCTTTTATTTCCTAATCTCCTTAAACATTTTACATAGCATTTTGAGACTGCTTTTTA